TCACGGCACCGGCCACCCCATCATGGCACCGGCCACCCCGTCACGGCACTAGCCACCCCGTCACGGCAGCGAGCTGAGTCGGACGGTGGTGTCCTGGTCTGCTTTCCTTTCACCACGCCATCTGTCCTTCTAAGGAGACTGGTTTCCTAAGGGTAATCAAGCAAGCTGCTTAAAATAGGCATATTTTTAAAACTAAAATAAGAGTTGTCTGCCAGCAGTGGGGCTGAGTAACCTAGGACGTGACTAAGCATGTACCCTCTCCTACGGAAAGATGCCCTTTTTCGGAAAGGGTGTGTGGGTGCGGAGATGTAAGTATAAATTTTAAAGAGAAAGGGGTAGTTTAAGAGATTTTCCTGGGAGTGAGGATTTTATAACAGCCCGTTAGCAAGCGTAGTGGGACCAGATGGTGGCACAGTGAAGTGTGATGCTCCGCGGAGCAGATCCACATGGGAAGGTTGTCAGTTCAAGTCCAGGGGCCTCCCTGATTGTGCCCATGAGGCTGGTGGAAGCTGGAGCAGATTACTGTGCTGTCTCTCCTCTGGGGTGCTGCCTCTCTCTCTCTCTCTCTCTCTTTCTGTCTTTCTCACTCATGGAATAGATAAATGAACTTTAGAAAAAGGGCCAGACGATGGCACAATGGTAAAACTCTATGCTCTAAGGCAATCCCATAATTTGAGTGATTATTCAAATTATGATCTCACTGCATCATCATTGAAAGCACAAAGATATACAGAAAGTGTTGAAATACGGAGATGGGAAAATCAGGTCAGAGTAGCCTATTTAGGCCAAGGCACACGCACAGTAGACACGTATACAGATAATGTATGTTAGCAAACACTGGGACAATTTAGCACAATGTCAATACTTGGGTGTTCATCAGATATTTTCCCCCTGAAAAGTACCTTAAACTCGCCATGAAAAAGAAATGCAGGTTCCATCTGCTGAGGCCACCGATAAAACATGCAGTTGTCTTGAATTATCAATAGACCCAATTAAGCATGAGCATTTGGAGAGAGTATGGCATTGTCCTACATGTTTTCATTTTTGCCTGGAAGAAGTGACCTCACTCCTACCCCGGCCTATGCCGATGCTTGGTTCCCACACCAGGATTCTGCGTTTTATTCTCCTCTTCACCCTCCTCCTAAGTCTGGTCCCAAGATC